TGACCCTCTGAAAATCACTAAATCGCGGAAATCTGGAAACCAGAAGTGACGTCATAAAAATAAAAAATTATATATCAGGTTTGATTGATGTTCCATCAGTCCTGAAAGTTTCATGAAAATCGATCGAGCCGTTTCTGAGAAATCGCGTGCACAAAATCGGTAAGAAAAAAAAACAATAATGAAAATAATAAAAATAGTGGAAAAGAAACCTTAGAATAACAAGAAGGTCTTCCGCTGAAGACGGAAGACCTTAAAAATAGTGGAAAAGAAACCTAAGAAAAATAATAAGGTCTTCCGCTGAAGACGAAAGACCTTAAATAGTGGTAAAGAAACCTAAGAAAAACAATAAGGTCTTCCGTCTTCATTAAATGATGCAAGCTTGGAAAATAATTGGACACAAAAGATTTATGCCAAAGTTAGAATTATAACTATTATCTGATGCAAGGTTTAACAAAAATTAGAAAATTACACGATTTATGCAAAAGAATTAAGTACCGCGATATAATGAGACACCAGTATATTATACCCCTAAATCGTGGACAAAAAATCGGATTCGTGTATTTTTGATAATTTTGGGACAATTTATTTTTACTGTTATATTTATTGTTTTAGGATTAAAAAATTGAAAGTTTACCACCCCGTTTTCTTAGTGGGCCATCTTACATGTTGTTAAACTTTACAATTGGACCCTATGGGAATTTGTTGGAAAATCGCCAAATTATTACATTTTTTTCAATATTTTTGTACTTCTGCCCTAGGAATTTCTCTTTAATTCAATTAAATGAAAGTAAATGTAAAACGTCACCAAATTGTGAAATTTCCAAAAAAGTTCACCATCTCGATTGGTCTAGTTCGAAGCCAAATACCTCTAAAATTGCCATATTACGGTAAAAATACGTATCTATGGTGACATTGTTGGAGCCATTTCAAAGTTTTTTTCTAATAATTGTGGCAAAATCACATTTTCAGATCAGTAGGAGTCACAAATAATCTTAATTTTGTATTAAAATTAAAATAATTAATGACTGCATGAAATTAAAAAGCTGCGCAAAGTGATGCGCACTCGAATTAGACTCGGCCTCGTTAAATTGAAGCTATAAGAATTCATGCAGCTCGGAAAAACAGAAACAACCACAGAAATACATATAGTTTATTTTTAAAAGCAATAACAACAATAGAAATTGCAATATGCAGTACAAAAGTGATACTGTAAACGTATTACATTTGGCTGTGTATTCTTTTTACCGCTTTTGACGGAAAGAAACTTAATTCCGCTTATTCAAGTGAAACGCTAAAAGTCTTGTCCTTGTATACATAAATAAGAACATTAGAAAAAAAAACACTAAATCAAATCAACTCTAATTTGTACAAAAATCATTTTCCGCCAAATATCATACACGCTAAATATGATACATTAACAGTATTAGGATTAAAATACGATGATTGAACTGTTTTTTGATTTAAAAAAAGTATTTGAAAAGTAAACTCAAATTTGTTTTTCAGAAAAAATATTTTCCAGGTAGACTACTTTTATTAATCAAGGTACACAGATGTCACTTGGTATTTTGCATTGAGTTGTGACATGTTTCATACCTTGAGATTTACGTGAATCGCCAGGGGCGAAGCCAGGGTACATTTGATGTGGACGCCTGGATAGGCTGGGATTTGGGGGCCGCCATAAGGTCCCCAAAGAGTCCAGGGCGAAGCCCTGGTTGGGACTAAGGGGGCGAAGCCCGCGAAAGCTGGTGAATTTTCGACGATTTCGATGTGCAATGCGGACAGTCACTCAAAAATGAGAAAAGAACTGTCCAAAAGCAAACCGACTAAAACAATTTTAGACTTTTGAAGCTCGAAAAAATACGTATGGTAACATACGGTAGTTGGTTAGAGTGGTTGACTGGTGTAGACAGACCACTTAATTGACTGATAGTCAGCTAGGCTTACATTAATATTACGAATTAATCTCTAAAGATTGAAAATACATGTAACAAAGACAAAAGAATTCTTTTCAGCACATTTTCTTGCACATAACCTATGCACATTGTATACATTTTAAAATGAATGTTCATAAATATTCACAAAACTGGTATCTTAAAACTTTTTGCAACAATTATAAAAACATGTAAAATATACTAATGATTTTAAGGTAGTGTACAGATGTCAATACTTAAATAGGCCTTATTACTATTTTTTACGAATTTTTCGATTTTTGATGTTCATATGTAAAGCTGATTTATGATTTTTTGAAGCCTTGCATGAATCCGATATTAGGATTAAATTGGGGGGGGGGGGGGGTTACCGTTTCAGAAGTTAAGCATTGTGATTGGAAGTCAATTTCCATTAATAGAAATTTTAATTTTGGCATTAAATAAAATTATCGTTTGTTTTAAGGGAACCGACTGGGGTTTTTTGGGTGACATCTACACCAGAGAAACTCTTTAAGAATGTAATTACACTTGGAAAAAAATCAGCAATATTCGATAGTTAACCAAAATCCGAGAATATCTTTTGATTTCAGTGAGGTGTATAGTATCGTATTTCCCCCCAAAACTGACTCTGTTGATTTTTTTATCATTAATTCTTAATATTTCTAAGTATTTTTTTTTTATTTTTGAAATTTTTTTACTAATATTAATTAATTATTACTAATAATACTTGCAAAAAGGATGGGTGGGTACATTTTACAATATTACGGCTACCTCGCTCTCCTCTCTTCTCTTTCTTTTCTTTTCTTTCTTTTTTTTTCGAAAATGATGTGGACGTTTTTGCGTACAAACGTACACCTGGCTACGCGCCTGATCGCAATTGGAGAAACTACTACTGTTTGATTTTGTTGATCAGTGTAAATTCATTCAGGTAATAATCATAATGATTGATTTCTGAATTAAAACTTAATATATGCGATATACTTTCGAGCTATTATGGTTTATCTAGAAGTTTTATATATTTGCCTTGCTGCAGCGAACAAAAACGAAAGTTGCCAATCAGCAAAACACATTCATCCGTGTCTTCAATGCGCGCGTTTCATAATTTGGTTCGTTGGATGCTCTTTTTAACTTGATTTTCAAAATGTTGTTATCAGTTTTAGAAAGAAAGACCAATTCTTTATGACCAGTGTATTTATTAAGTTTTTTTCCGCTTTAATTTTTAACAATATGACATAAAATTCACACGACTGACCCGGAACTGAATTGGAGACGACCCCATGCCAAGAAAACCTACGCATTCTTGTTCTCTTTAGAGAAGTGGACAGGCTTTCGCCTTCATCCAGGGTGTTGTAGGTGAAAGCCTGTCTACTTCTCTAAAGAGAATAACGCATTCTATTCGGAGAGCGAACTCAATCAAAGCAGAACTAACATTAATTTGTGATTCTTCCCCAAGGAGATGTGCGCAAACAATTAATGTCAGCAGTATTGAGGGAGGGATCTTAAGTTTTACTGGGTTCAAAACATAGATACAAAACTAATTATTTAGAAGCCTTCGCACCCTCTCTTTCTTTTTGTTGGCGGGGGGGGGGGTCCATCTAAATCAATTAATGTAAAACAAAAGGAAAAAAAAGAAGAAGAAAGTTAAAAATTATTTATAGTAAACTAATTCTTCAGTAGAAATACCGGTAAGCTGCGTTTCAATTTTTGACGTACATGCATCTCCATATAATTTTCTTCTTAGTATAAATTGATGTAGGGTACGATAAGATGAAGCAGAGTAATAAATGGGTAGATTGATTGATTGATTTTATATTGTTTAACGCCGAGTCGGCAATTTTTCAGCCATATTTCGGCGGGGTTTACCTGATTGGCTGAATTCAGGCATGTAAATATTTTCATTTTAAAGTAAAAATATTAATGTTTGAAATAAATGATGGAATGCGGGAATATTACAGAAAATATAGAAATACCAGGGGAGATTGTAGGAGTGGGGATTGATATTTTTGGCAGGGTGTCATTTACTGCCGATCGCTGTAAGTTCTAAATAACTGCAAATTTGACCTATAAACGCCAAGGCACGGTGTATTTTTTTTTCGTGTTTTTAATAAGTGCTTAGAACAAACTTTTAAATGCTATCAGAGATTTGTTTGAACGGGAACTAGTAATTTCCTTGGAGGGCATAAGGTTTATATAGAGTTCTTTGGGAAAATAATTGGTACTCTTTTCCCTTTATTGTGGAGGTACCGCATCTTTACCAAATTCTCGAAAGTTGAAATAATTTCCTGTTTAAACAATAGGGGAGGGACGTACTAATTAGGTAGAGGTTTCACACCGGTAATTGACCAATCAAAATTAAAGCCATATGGCGTAATTGATCAAAAAAATATATTTTTGAAAAATACAAAATTAAGTCAAGAAATATAGTTAATACATTTAAATTAAACTTTTCATACAATTCTGAACACGGAGAACACCTCGTTTCAACTAATAATACGATTTTATCTTCTCTGAAATGTGTTATTTAAATCTTTTGTATTTTCTTCCGAGTCGGAGAAAATTCCCAGGATCCAAATAAAATTGGGTTATCTTTATAACGTAATTGACTTAGATTTTGTAATTTACGGAAAAGTTCTATCTTTATATAAAGTAATGATACAAATAATAAGTTATCATAATTTTAGCCTAATAATTTTCATTGTACATACGCCATATATGGCTTTAACTTAGTATGTATCAAATGTAGGTCCATACATATAAAATTCATTTTCCTTTCTTTTGAGGTGTTTTTTTTTTTTTGTTTTCTTCCAAGCCATTTTTACAACTTTGGAACCTGTGCCTAGTACGTAAATTGTCTCGGCAGCATTTGGGGAATATGGGTAATTTGCATTATTTACACTTTATTGACTTCATCGCTGCAAAAAGCGGAAGAGATTTCTTAGCATGCGAAATTGGCGACTTCACTGTTCTATCAATGTTGACATGTTTACTAATGATTAATATCTGTTTCCCCCTAATTCTAAAACAAATATGGATTAGAACATATGTATAAAACATATATTCCTATTTTTTCAGATGGCGTTATCTAAAATTGATATTCCCCGCACAGCCCAGCACTTTTTAGAGTGCGGCATTGAAGACTGTGAAGGAAACTGTGAGTTCTACTGCAACCCTTGTTATCAAAGATTGTGTAAACAATGCAGAGATGAACATCTGAAAAGACCAGAAAACAAGAACCATGAGGTGGTCCTTTACCAACAACGCAAACGACAACTTCCTGTTGAGAAATGCAAGATCCAACCCACTAAAGATGTGGACATGCTCTGTGCAGAATGTCAAGTTCCAGTGTGTTCCAAATGTACTACAGAGCAAAACCATCGAGGGCATATATTTACTGATCTAGAAACAATTTATGCAGAAAAAATTGCAGTCTTTCAGGAAGAAATTTCCAAGATTCATGAGTATTTTCTCCCTACATCACAAGATTTACAGAAAGAAATCAAAAAAGATTCCTCAGAAATCAAACACATCATGGACAACATTAGAACATCTATGAAGACTGAAGGTGAGACCCTGAAAAGTCTGGTGGACACAGTCATATCTGAGAACATGAAGCAGTTAGACCAGATAGAGCATTCACTGTTAGAAGATCTAAACACCCAAGACAAGACAATGGATGATTACATCACTTATCTAAATAACCTTGTCAAAGAGCTCCACATATGCCTGTCCTCTACAGAAACCAAGAAATTAATGTCTGAGAAGAAACCAAAGATCCGATCTGTACCAGAGACAACAAAACCAGTCACACCAGGATTTACTGCTGGTCAATACAGCAAAAGTGATGTCACAAAACTACTTGGTGAAATACATGTCCCCAACACTAGAGCAAAGAAGAGAGAAATAAAGCCCATTGAAAATGTCTACAACACAGCAATGAAACCTACACATGAACAGATGAAAGAAGACAGAAAGAAATCTGACAAGAAACAAACATTGTCTCTATCTGCCTCTGTCACCAAAGTCAGGGAGTTCAATGTACCAGGTGTTGATCGTGCATTCCATGTATCACTAGATCAATCAGACAGACTCTGGATCAGTGACGAGTATGGTAATCTTCTCCAAACAGATCTACAGGGGAATGTGATACAGAAGATAGAAACCAGTGGTGGACGTGGTTACCACACAGTGACACAGGACGGGGTTCTGATCTTTACAGACAAAAACAAGAAAGTCATCAATACAATAACAAAGGATAATAATATCACCGAATTCATTAAAACTGGAGTCTGGAGACCACTCAGCATACACTCCTCACACATCAACGGGGACTTACTGGTGGGGATGGTGACATTAGGAGAGGCTAAAGTCACCAGGTACAAGAAGACAGGAAAAGAACTACAGAACATACAGACGGATAACAAAGGACAGGAACTGTATAGTTATCCACACTACATCATAGAAAACATCAATGGAGATATCTGTACATCAGACTTTTATAAGGAGGCAGTAGTGGTGGTGAATAAATCAGGACAACACAGGTTCTCTTACACAGGTCAGGAGTTAGAGTTCAGTCCCTATGGAATCTGCACTGATGTCCTCGGTCACATCCTGGTGTGTGATAGATTCATTAACTCTGTTCATCTCCTTGATCAAGACGGTCAGTTCTTGTTACTATTACTCACATCACAACAAGAGGTAGAGTGTCCCCGTATTCTGTGTGTGGATGATGAGAACAATCTCTATGTGGGACAAGTCACCAACAAACTAACAGTGTACAAGTATTTATAGTGAAAAATAACATTGCAGTTAAGTACATGTATTCTTTTATACAACCATTCTGTGTTTTTACATGTCATCGCACAGTTATAATATTTTTCTTTGTTAAACAAGACTTAGTAGACATTTTGAATCGTGTGTATCAGTGGTATACTGGAAATTAATTGTTTTGAGTTACACAATAGCTCATAAGTTTAAAAGACACTGCATAGTTTGAAAAAAAATCTAGTTGTTAATGGTGGGTTTTGTTAGGTTAACATGACTGTTGATTTTTATAATTTGGGAGCAATATTTATATAGCATACTCGTATATCTTTTAACCTGTTCTCTTGGTTAATTTCCAAACAAGCACATTGTCGTATATTTGTATTTGTTATGTAATTTGCATTGTTTCTTGTACACTTTTGAGAACAAAGTATTGTCATGGCATAACATGGTACAATTTCGAAGTAGTGTGATGCTGATATGATATGTTGTAAAAAAAACCTAATTTATACATAAATTGTAATTATAGTTCTAAGCAAATCCATGTTGTTGTAATAGATTGAAGTTGGAGATTGGGGTGTGGAATATAGGATATATATGACAACTGAGCATTAAATTTTGAAAATAAGTTGAATATGAACAATATATTCCTTTCATTCTATTGTAATAGGTATTGGATATCAATGTTTACATATCTGATGTTGTGACATGACTCAGCCTGATCTACACTGTAACTAAACAATCTTGAATCTTTGTGAGATTATACTTGTATTTAATAATATTGACTTTTGTAACTCCTTTGGATTTTTTTTAGGATCAGAATAAACGATTTTATGGCTGCCCATTTGTGTTGTAGACTGTGAATAGATTACTTAAAGACTTGCTAGAAAGGCTGTGGATGAAAAGAGGCTAAAATCTACTCACTTGAGGATTAAAAGTTCAAGATCATTGAAAGAATATGTTCTTACTCATGTTCTTAAAAAACATTTATAGAAAACTTAAAATTTTGACTCTGTCTATAGCAACTAATTTATTATTCATTTGATGTTCAAATATCAGAGTTGAACAGTATCAATTGAAACATGCAAAATTTGCAAGGTGGCCATGTAATAATACTTAAGATAATTATTACAGTGTCAAAAGTTCAAGGACAATAAGATGGCCAAGAGTGGATATATCACTGAATTGCAAACAGGCCAGTCTTCGAATATTGACTCCAGGGTCAGAAGGTCAAAGACGCATCTGTGTATATCACTATAGAAGCCATGATATACAAAATGAATTCTTGTGTGAATAATTCACATTTCAGAGTTGCATGCTCTCTAACGGCAAGTGCTGGTGTCTCCATATGAGTGAAACATTCTCAAGAGGGACGTTAAAAATGTACAATCAAATAATTATGTTAACATAATGACAAGAAATATTACAACATTCAAGTTTTAATCAAACTCAGCAATATACAATATTTTGACACATATGCATGAAAAGTCTTTAAAATAAAAATAAGTATATATATTTTTCAAAATAAACAATATCAACAAGAGTATAAACAAATACTTAATGCATCACTGTCACAGAGAAACACAACTATAATAATATAATGCATCGGTGTCACAGAAACAACCATAATAATACAAATCTACTCTGTACACAACCATTGTAATCACAGATTGAACGTGATGAGGACGGAATAAGGTTTGCATTCAGCAAAAAATAAAACCTATTTATCTATGTAATGCATTATGTCATACAGTAAAAATTTCAATAAATCACAAGGTCAGAAAAAAATGTTAGATCTTATTCAAATAATCACTCCTAAAAGTCATTATTTTAGATTTTTTATTACAACACAAGAAAACGTCTTTGGCAGTTTCTTCAATTAATAAGGCCAGATAGTAGCAGTGAGCCCACGTAGTGCCCATCTCATTGGCGGGATTCCCTCCTTCTTGATGTCTATTTCCATGATGGGGTCCCGTGGGGCTATTCTGGAGGGATAGAGTGGGCACTGGAAGGAGGGTTCCTGTAGGGCTGGTTTCTCGTTAATAGGGTAGCACTGTAGATGGAGGACAGGAAGGGGGGCGTAACCCTGTCTGGAGGCCTGGTCCTGGAATTCATTGGTCGTCTTCTCAATGGAACATCCCCAGAGGTGGATTCCATGGATGTACACGCCCTCTGGTGGAAGTTGGAGTAACTAATGAAGGAAACAAAAATACCAAAATCAATTTTATCTTTTAATGATACTATTAATATCAAATTATGTTAAAGGCTATTTTTAAGCTTTGGTAGCAAAAAGCAAAATTTGTACGTTTAAAGAATTGATAGAAGGTATTGTTCTTACATTTCCAAAATCTCTGAATGTTGTATCTTTCTGGAAGGTAAACTGTTCGAAATTGCCAGACCTATCTCCACAGTAACTATTGATGACTTTCTGTTTTAGCAATGCAAGAAGTCATCTAAGATTGAAAAATACTCCTAACCAATAGGCTGGCATGGCTTTTCTTCCCTGTAACATGCAAAAAAAAAATATTCCATATTTAAAAAATTTATTATTTTTTTTTACTAAAGATTAAAGACTTAGTAGGATAAAGTGTCTGCTCAGTTATTTCTAACTATGAAAAAATATTAAATCTGCATAAAGGGATTTTCACTTTCTAAAGATCCTTCTACATTTTTTTATACAATACACACCATGCTGAGGATCTTCTCAAAGTGTTTCCAGCGGTCCTCCAGATCCCGGAGCCACTGAGCGGCGTTATAGGTGTAGGGTGGGGCGGTGGTGCCGGTCATCTTACACCAGATCCTGGGGATCCTCAAGTGGTAGAGGTCATCGGCCGCAGACAGGTAGTGGTCACTCAGCTGGTCACCCATCACATTGTTCTCACAGGCGTTCCTTATCAACTGTACAAAAAACATGATTTTTTTACCAAGTTCAGTACAAAAAAAGTTGTCAGAATCTATTCATATACAATGTGTCAGAAAGCAGTTCAATCAAAATTCATATTTAAATGGCTTCATCAAAGTCAAAATTTAATTACAAAATAATATAGTTCTACTTTCTCAAGTTAAAACCCTAATACTACTTATCCATGCCATTGACTCTGACATTGTATCGACAATACAACTGAGATTTACATTACAGTTTTAAATGTTACAATTGTACTTAACTTATTTTTATAGATGTTTTAACTTTCTCAATAAGTTTGAAGTAGTTTTAATAATTCTAAATATGAAGGTCACACCAGTATGGAATGATATCAACAAAATCATATATTTAACAAAACCCAACGTTCAAGGAGAAATCATATGACTGTCATATCTGCCGGTGTAACGTTGAATATTGACCCCAGTTGAAAATTGACCCGAGGGTCATTTTTCAACGTTGAATATTGGACCAGGGTGTTTTTTCAACGTTGAAAATTGAGACCAAGAGTTGTTGAATTCATACCCGGGGTCATTTTTCAACAGCTTGATATTTTTTTCTTATCCCCGACTTCAACGAGTTGAAAATGGACCCTGTTGAATATTGACCCCACCTCAGAGTTTGAACATTTTTTTAACTGGGAAGTTGTTTTACGGGATTTATCAGTATCATAACATAACATGTAAGTAATGCTGACTTTAAACTAGGTTGGTGAAATCCCAGTACCAACCTTATCTGTCTGTAGCCTGCCTCGGCCTAAAAATCGACCGTTTTCGGGCGCTGCATTTCATTACACGAAATATGCATAGCATTTTCGACATTTTTAAATTTCATTTCCGACATTTGTTGTTTTCATTTCCGACATAATTTTTTTTTTCATTTCCGGAATTTACCTGTGCGGCAATTCAATGTTTTTTTTTCAGTAAAAGAAAATGGAATTTTAAAAGTATTTATGCAAAAATATTAATTAAAAAAATTTCTCATACATATATGCATGCACCTTGCACTAAGTCAAGGTAAAAGAGTTTAATGAGAGCATAAAACTTTTTTACCATATATAATGTGCACGAAATTAAATATCAGTGACAGCACCATTCTTATCTTCAAGTCACTGAAAGATTTACAAAATTGGATTTCAATGATTTATTTATTATTTATTCCTTTAAAATTTTCATAAGTAAAGTTATCAAATTTGTTACTATATTAACTACGTTTATATTTGAAAATGTCGGAAATGAAAACAAAAAAATGTCGGAAATGAAAACTAAAAAATGTTGGAAATGAAAAGTTGATAATTACCAAAAATTCCGGAAATGATACAGCCTTTTCGGAGCATTACCTTGAGGACGAGAACTAAGTTAGAGTCTGGGATGGACTAGAAGCTGCTCTTCCCACCATCTTTAATATCAACAATTTAAAAAAAACGCCGTCCCTGCAACTTCTTTTGATCTAAACAACTAAAAAGCGAATTCCTCTTCAAAGATACAGAGGGAGAGAGAGAGAGAGAGAATCCTTAAGTTTTTCTCGGAGGCGGGGGTATTGTCAAAACCCTCTGAAATATTTTGACCAAAAACATAAAGTAAATAAAAAACGAAACGCAATAAACACACAAGCAAACAAAAAATGGAAAGGGAAACTAGCCAATGTTGAAAACCAAACCATATTTCTCTAATTGGATGGAAGGGCCGCTTCAAAAATTCCCCACAAACAATCCCGTGTTTCCCCGATTTGGGGGTGGGGGGTGTTATATTTTGGCTACTGCATTACAAAAATTAAATAACGCTGAAAGTTAGGGTTGTGTATTTAAGGCAAACATTTATTGATAAAAAAAAAACTACAAAAATGAAGAAAACAGCCAAGTCACAAATAAAAAAAAATACATTCTTCAAATAATCCCAAAAAGGGGAGATACCCCTTTTTTATATCCTATACTTAACAAAATATATATGTATTAATTGTGAGGATCGTTCTTGAACTGTTTGAATAACTATGCGAAAAAGATCACTAAACCTTTTATTTTGAAAATCCGGACATTATAAGTTATTAATGTTGAGCATAACTAAATAAGCATTAAAACGTACGTGCATCATGCGTTAAATTCTCACCATTTTCCATATACTGATATTAGGAATTTTAATATTAAAATAAATGAAGTGCTGTCAGCAAAAAAAAAAAAAAATTAAATAAACATATAAATGAACAA